TTGTAGTAGTCAAATTATGGTCAGTGTGTTGGTTGGTCATTAGGACATGCCAGAACGCCCCAGCAATCTTTGGATGTCTATCCTTATTGCTACTTCTGTGGAATTGCGAAGCTTGAACACATGAGGGAAAAAGTATTGAGCGACTTCCTGAGCCTTGATAGAGATGAAGGAGGGGATGAAACGAGCATATTCGCTGCTCAGATGTCATCCAAATGCGTAGCTTCCAGCGGCTTAACAATATAATCTAAAGTCAGATCAGTCCAATTCCTTTTGAAGCAGGACAGGTTTGTAGAAGAGTTGCTATAGCAAGATTGCGCGGCCTCAGCTGCAGACAATCTAGGCCAAATAGTGCATGCTCCTTTGCCATGGGGGGCACTCCACGCCACCAGAAGGGCGAGAACTCTTTCACTGTAGTGTGGACTCCACCATGGCCCAATAAAACGTTATGGCGTGCTTCGAGTAAAGCAGCAATGTAAATAGCAGTGCCGAGATCCCACTGTTATGATAGGCCCATTAAAGTCCCTTTACTTGCTGCTACAGTTCAGCTGGAGTCTTAACAAGTTCAAAAGGCATACAGATATACTCTAGTTTTTGAGCGCGACTGTGAAACGCTGTTTTTTTTCTGTCGTCCGGGTGAATTGGGGGAAGAGGTGAGAAGGCGTATGTAAAGTCAAATGCCGAGTTGATTGCAGACCCGGGTACCTTGTCAAGGAATTCGCCAATCTGAGACGTTGGGAACGTCTGCTTGATAGTGATCGTGTTGGCCTCAAGTTTAACGCCACTGTACACGGTCCCGTCCCTTGTCGGCACCAACACCGCGTCAGGCCCAGAAGTGCGAATAGATACCTGCACTTTGCCTTTATTTAACACTTGATCCGTCTGCCGCTCAACATCCTCTTCCTGCTGTGGAGAATTTTAAATTCACGAACATGGCATGGGGCCGACCCAAAGAATAGCTGAATACGGTGCGCTGGATGATCGGCAGGTGGTCAGCCTACTGGGAGCTCTTTCTTATTTAGTACATCCGCCAGCTCACCTTGATATTTGTTTATTTCTGCCTTCCCTATGCTAAAATATCAATCGGTGTCTCGCATAAGAAGTTACAGAGCCAGTAAGACGGGATTCACGCTCAGAACTGTAATCTTTCATTGCAGTGCTTTTTGCCGCCCACATGAAAACACCGCTTCTTCTTGTTAAGGTATTGATTGCACGCCGCTCACAATGGACAAAGTGTGTGCTGCTAAGGAAGCCAGGGACTACTCTATTCGAACGCTCTCTGGCACTCCTCCCTTCACAGCCTGCAGCTGTGTCCCCATTCGCGCCTTCTATTGGGTCACCCTTGGCGTACCTAGGATTACGTCGTGGTACAGGGCCCCAGAGAAGAGATCACGGATCATGCCGATACGACCTAATTTTTATTTCAAGTAGCGTTTAGCTACTAGAGCCTTGTCAACTGCTTGCATTGTGCCACCTGTCAGCAAACCTAAGTCTTAGATTCTCCACCAACGGTCAGAAGGCAAATTGTACTTCTGCACCGTCTCCTCTGATAACACATCCACTTCACATCCAGTGTCCACAAAGGCAAGCAGCTCTTCAGTATTCATGTATGCTTGGCTCAGGAAAGAAATGACACCTTTTGGGTCCTTAATTGGGGCCCGATACTCTGTAGCCGGCTTCAATGCGACGCTTGGAGGGTTTGTTCTCTCCTAACATGGCCTTCAAGCTCCTCCAAGCAGTTTGCGCACGCTGAGCAGTCTTGTCTTTGAAGTTCTCTGGTTTTATACGGGCCTTTGAAGCTCCGTTTACATGACCCCATTTAAAATAACAGAAGCAGCATTGTTGAGGGGGCATCTGGGCTTGTTTAGGAGCGCGGACCCCTCCCGGATTTCTCTTCTCTTTTACCTTAGACTATGGGATAGGGCCGGTTGATGCAGCCCCACTACTCACAGCTCTTAAAACCCCGACTTGCGTGTTCCCTATAGGCAAATGACGCAGGGATTACTCTCGTCTGCTCCTAAAACTTTAAGTAGTCCATCACTTGTGGAGGCCCCACCGGTCAGTTGTCTGACCGCGTAGTCGCTGCCAATCCTACGACCACCTGAAGTGACACTTGGGATGGGCCTAAGAGAACACTGATATAATGCAACTGTTTGTCAAAGTCGTGGCTTTGGGGGCCTAGAATTTTTACATATTTCAATATGCTGATCTTTCACTAGGTTCCGCTGCTCGGGCTTTTCCAATTCTAATTTGACTCATGCCGTGAGCTGATCTCGGGTCGAGCCAATGAGTAGGGGCATGAATGAATGTTTAGGCTGTGGCAATCTATGCTTGCGAAGGACGTTTTCTGCATGAACTGGAGTGACTCTCCATACAGTAGGCTTCTTCCAATGAGTGCTTGTTTCCCTTCAACTTTAAGAGAAAATCTAAGTACATCTCCAACCGGCTGATGGCACCTTCGCGTACCTGCCCTTCCTCGAAGCCGTCATACTTTTCGGTTTGGCATAGCTTTATCGACACACTTTCAAACATTTATCGCCGGTTAATCGATCCATTTTATCATATTTAAAAAACATTGCTTTCGCATAAGCCTGCAGGCTGGCCTCTCCCGCCTCAGCAGACCTTTTGCCACCGTAGAACAACGTCGCCAAAGGATGTTCTGGGCGGCCTGTTGATATAAATAATCGAACTACTGAATTGTCGAATACCCTGGTCGGAGCAAGGCAACTGTTGAATCCAAGGGCCACTGCGCTCACAGGTGTGGATGAGCCGGATACACCTGCGCAAAAGCATTCCGTGCTAGCAACTGTCACTCACCGTGTAAGGCCTCCGTATGGAGGCACCTAGTTGCCGTCAATACATACTTAGTGGAGAACTCAAGTGTTTCTCTAAAGAACTCTCTCGTTGCGATGCCAAATATACCCAGAGTTGTCGACATTTGGAGAGCGGAACAGCCAATGTGAACTTAGCTGCACCCTTTCAGCAGTCACATTGCATCCAGTGCAGATGCACACAACTCTATGCCTTCTTGTATCGAGCTAGCGCTATGTATCAGCAAATAAGAGATACTAACAGACAAAGTAGCTGGTCAACTTTACCTAATTTCAGTCAGTGTAACCAGTGTTGCAGAAGACGCCTGGCTGTAGCTCAGACCCCAAACAGCCGTTCCATGAATCATGCTTGCGGTGTAGGGTGGCAACTCCTTCTTTTAAACGATGAACAGGGGCGCCCACTGGGTAAGGATCTTTTTGGAACCCCCGAGCGGCCACTGCTTCTTACAGGTGCTAGCCCTAAGCAACAACAGACGCGGACGCTGGGTCGGGGGACACTTTATAAAGCTCCTCTGTGGCCGTAATTTGGTTAGGCCATCTTGATAGCAACAAATGACACTCTCGTTCTCTTGCACATGCGCTGTGGGCTCTTTATGTAACTGTTGCTGCGTCTGCATGGTCACTTAGGCGAAGCTGCTAGGAGCGTACGTGCTTAGTGACACACCTCCGGCCCTCTAGTGCATGCTATCTTCTCATATATTGAGTATGATTGTCCTTTCATGGTGCTTTCGGCCTTTCCTTCGGTCAACACGTGTGGGTGGGGTGCTGGCGACTGGCCAAAGCTAAGGGGGTCGCGATTCCCAAGGAGGAAAATTAAATTGTATGCTCGCGATGAAACCTTGATTGCAAAGTCTATATGATTCTTGAGAAAAGTTCAATTCGCGGGTAACTCTGTTTTCGAGTCCAGGCGAAGAAGGCGAGCCGACCCCACAGCAGACCTCTAAATGATCAATGCATGTGGTGGGCGCATGCCCCCGCTAGAACCCTCCGAAATAAACGACCACTAATTCACATCTACCTCCTTTGATATTTAAATTGCCATAGTTTCGTAGCAGCAGCAGAATGCAGAAAAGACAGGCAGAAGCCTCTTAGTGGCTGTCCTGCGCGCTCCTCCCGTTATACATGGAGACTGAGTGGATAACCGCAGCCTACACAGGCATATCAGACCCCCGATGTCTGAACCACTTTGAACCATCATCACGTTTTTTGTTGTAATAGGGGTTATTGATTGTTTTCGTTCTGCTGTCTTTCTCCTGGCCAAACCGCCATGCAGGAGATCTCCTGGGGCCCCGGGGCTCTATGGCGTGTGCTGCATTTGTTATTGCTGCTGCTCCTCACACATCTCCCATCTGCTTCTGTCCAATTCTCGCGCAACAGTACTGCATGCGAAATCACTAGTGGGGTCGTTACCCGACAGGGGGGCATCTCCGCATACCGCAGAAACACAGGGGCAGGCCCTGGCCTCCATGACCTGAGTGCGCAAACGCGGCCACGCGCGCTTCCTTCGCATGCCAACTTGTTTTCCAGGAAGCAGCACCAACAGGAGGTGCCAGATCCGGTGACAGAGCGTGATACTTTGGAAAAAGAAAGAACGTCCACCGTTGCCCCCAAAACAACGGCAGTAGCAGAAGGAGCTGCCACCTTAGCGAGGCCTGTGAGATCAGCGCGCACGTTCGGTGCAGCGCCTCTCGCTGCTGCAGTGTCTGCTGAGGCAGAGGCGGCAGCAGGGGCAGCAGTTGCGGAAGCCACCGCAGCAGCAGCAGGCGAGAATGTGGCCCTGCTTGCTGCCCCGCGAGGCTTCTGTGAAGGAGTCAGCCGAGCTGTAGGGGCGGTAGAAGAGGCGCTGCGCGTCTTTGGAAGTCCGGTCTACGTCAAGCACCAGATTGTGCACAACGAGTTCGTCTGCAAGCAACTGGAGGTAATAGGGGGTTTCTAGGGACGAGGCAGGAAAAAAGCGAGCACAGGAGAGCCGCAGTGACAAGAAAGACGGTTTTTTCAAGCTCAGTCTCGCCTTGATAAGGCCATACAACATTGTGTCTTGATAGGTGCTTGCATTCCAGTCCAGTTGGCGCGTTCTCACACCCGCCCTCCCTGCCTCGCTGGGATATTTTTTTGCATCGACTGCCACAGGACCGCGGCGCAATCTTTGTAGAAGACATCGAGGAAGTGCCTCCCAACTCAGTTGTTGTCTTCTCGGCGCATGGAATTCCCCCCTCCGTCCGAGATGCTGCCAAGGCCAGGGGCCTCACGACGGTTGACGCCACCTGCCCCCTCGTGCAGAAGGTCCACGTCTACGTCAAACAGAAGGCCAATGAGGGCTATCAGATCGTAATTATTGGACACAAGAATCATGGTGTGCAAGTCACTGCTCTAAGTAGAGGTCTTCATTGAAAGCAAGTCGCAACAGGGCGGAGGTAGAGGGAGAAGGGGGACGGGCGGTCAATTCAAGGGCCCCTTTAAGCTCGCATGCAAGTGGGCGTGCTTGCTAAGGAGGCCTTACGACGCCTCTGCACCTAACAGCTTGCCAGGTTTGTTGGTGTGCATGCATCTCACCGCATGTTGCGTCTTCTGCTGTGCCTGCGTGTACTGCCAGTGGAGGTTCAGGGCGTTAAGGGCGAGGCCTCGGATAAGGTGCAAGTTGTCGAGTCCGAGGCAGATGTGGCTGCCCTCACGTATCCTCCAGACACGAAACTGTTTTACGTTACCCAGACCACTCTCAGCGTCTTGGACTGCATGCGCATCGAGCAAGCGCTGCGCGCCAAGTATCCACACATCGAAACGATTCCCTCGGGCTCCGTGTGCTACGCCACTACAAATCGGCAGGCGGCACTGGGGGCCCTCTCTGCACATGCAGATCTCGCGCTGGTCGTAGGGAGCCCCTCTTCAAGCAATGCAAAGAGGCTTGTGGAAGTCGCAAAAAGCAGAAACATCCCGTAAGAAACGCGGGTGTAGATGCGCTCTGCAGGCCTTTCTCTCAGTCCCGCTGTCGGCGTGTGGGTGGCACCACTGTTTTTCGAGGTCTACGAGCGAAAGCCTGCCAGTTCATTTAGTCTTTGATCGCTTCTGGCCATGCATGTTCGCCCTTCGCACCTGTACCGTACGCTGCAGGGCATATTTGGTGCCGACTCCCGAATCCGTAGATCCGAAGTGGCTGAAGGGCGTCAAGACGGTTGTTGTTTCTGCGTCGGCTTCCACTCCCGAGGCCCTCACGAACCGTGTGATGCAGCGTCTTGCTGAGCTTGGGGTGTCTGTTCAGCAGGAGGCCCTTGCTGTCAACGAGACAAAGCCTACGTGGAAGCTCCCCAAGTAAGAGCGCGAACAACATTCGTGCACCTAATAAAACCCCTTATTGAGGTAGCCTTTTGCAGTTGGCCTACATATTTTGAAACTTGCCAGGGTAGGATGATTGTGGAAGGTGCGCAACAGTGCTTGGGTGCAATGCGGCGTTGACCGCTGCTGGTCTCAGGAACCTGCGGGATGCCGCGCAGCTCCTCGTGGCAAAGTTGACGACCGCGAATTGATATAATGCAGCGTTAGAAGCACCATGACGAGAGAGTGATGGTCGGTGGGAACAGAAAGCAGAGTTATCTGTGCTGTGCACCCGCACAAGAGTTGTTGGCTGACCTCTGGTAAGGGCCGAATGGCGATGGGAAGCTGCACAGGCCGACGGGAGAACATCCTTAGGTGTATACGAACAGCCTTTGGTATTGGAGAGAATACACAGGCACATCAGAGGCACTGGGCATATGCAAGTCAGACTAACAAGGAAAATGCTCGGAAGCACATAGGGGTGGCGGCACACCCTCGTGGAAGGCCTCGGGTTGTTGGCTGCGCACTCGGTCGGGACCACAGGGGTTCACACAAAATGAGGTGGGGGGCCCCGACTACTTCATAAGAGGCATCACCACAACCCTCACAGTGCAGGTCATTCCCATGCGTCCTAGTTTCAGCCCTGGTGACCCTGAGGGTGCAAGGGGAATTCCCTACAAAGGGCATCGGTGAAAAGGATTAAGAGTGGGGACGGTGGGCTATCTTGAAGCAGTGCCCCTGCACTCCAGTGCACTAGATGCACAACCGTTTTATTCATTTTATTTTCCAGTGACATGTTCCAGGGGGTTCGCCGGTCACGCATGAGTGACCCTCTGTTTTGCTCATGCAAATGGCGTCATGTGCGAAACTGGCGCACGCCAGCCAAACGGCTGCGCGCTTTTCTGTTAGCATATACTGAGCAGTGACGAATCAGTTGACAATTGTTGGCACGGAGAAGCCGTAGGGCTGCTTCGGTTCATGACGTAGGTAGCACCCTAGGCAGTAGTCGATGGCTTGAATTACTGAGCCTTCCTGGAATTGCGCTACGAAGAAGCTACACAGGAAGGGTGCGGGTGGCTATAGAAAACAAGCGCCCAGTAGTAGTGCGGAAAGGCCATTTCGGGCATGTCAGATCCCTCCCGTATGTTTTTTTTTGTCCGGCTGATCAACGTATAGAAGACGGCCACAGGTGGGCCATAAGGGCATAGCCTACGCTTGCTACTGCAAGAAGCAGCTGTGCAGCGCCACTCCTCTTAAGCCAGACGCAATATCAAGGCGAACAACAGGCTATTCTACGCGAGTTCAATGCAATTACGGGTGCATTTACACCTCCCCCTTGCCTGCAGGGCACGTGCAGGCTGGTGCGCGACCCCATGACAGCTGCCTCGAACTGCTTCTCCATTCTTCTGCAGGTGTAAAGATCCCACTGCAAGATCTCCAAGTCCTGAAAATCAGAAGCCCGTCAGCCTCTTGCTTCGCTTTCCTTGAGTGCATGCATGCATTCAGCAGTAGCCAGGACATGCAACGGGGGGCTTTGGGAATACCAGTCGCAGCAAGCATTTCCGGCGGATAGTCCTCCGCCGGTTTTTACAATAACTGTACAAAGGTTCCAGGGTTCAAGCTTCAGAGCATACGGTTTGCGTCTGTCGCTTTGACCCTAACGAGTTCCGAGGACTCGGGCGATATGTGCCTCGCATCATCGATGGGCTGGTTGCCTGTTTCCCAATAGGGTATAGGGTTCAGGATTAAGGGTTATGGGAAGCCGCAATGACGCAATCCCCGGCAGCTGCCCAGGCGAAGCGCAGACGGAAACTTGCAGAGGAACCTGATGAGTACAAGGAGAAGCTCCCTTTAGAGGTTTGTAAACCTTCCGCAAATTACACGACATGGCGTTTTTGTTGTTGCTCCCCTGGGGTGGCCGCTCATAGTGCCACTCGCTTTGCCGGCCTCTGGTCGTTTGTAAGCGGGTCTTTTGTGGCGTTTCGCTGCAACGCGAGATCTCGCATGCAACGCAGGATGTCGGAGGGTGCTGTATGTACACTGCAGCCCACTCATTCGTTTCCTCTTTTCGTTGCAGGATGATGAACTGCTTGTCAGGCTGGTGGTTCAACAGCGGGGGACGCTGCAGGAGTATCGGCGGCAGTTGAATTCGCTGCGGCGGCAGCAGCAGCAGCAACAACACCAAGCGGCAGAATCTGCTAGATGCGCTGCAGCTGTTGCTGATGCGTGGGCTGCACTAAATGCTGATCTCCTGCTGCTACTGCCAGAGCGGCAGGGTTCAGAGGACTCGGAGTTGCAGAGCAGCGTGCAGGCGCTTCTGCAGCGGCCCGGTAATCATGTTGATCTGAGTGTTGTTTCTCTCTCTCTCTCTCTCTCTCTCTCTCTCTCTCTCTCTCTCTCTCAGATCGGAAGAGCACATGTCAGAACTCCAGTCACAAGAAGACCTCGTATTCCGTCTTCTTCTTGTTACAGAGATCCATCGAACTACTACTCATTGCTTACATCGTTCTCCGTGACTCGATACCACTAGCCTCACTTTTCAACATTTGACTGCTCAGACGTATGATCATCT